TCGAGGTTTTAAAGCATGCTACAAGTCTAAATCATGGTCTCCAGAACCGTCATAAAACCAAAATTGTTACTTGGGTTGCCATCAACGCATCAAAGACCAAATACATGAAAGGAAGAGGTTCTAGGGAAGACAATGTTAGCCTCCCACCCCGAATTCAGATTGACAGCGACGAAATCGAAGTGGTCGATGAGTTCGTGTATTTGGGCTCACTGGTGACCGCCGAAAATGATAGCAGCAGAGAAATTCAAAGACGCATTATGGCAGGGAATCGTGCCTACCATGGACTCCTGAGGACGCTCTGGTTGAATAAAATTTGCTGCCGCACGAAGTTGACTGTCTACAAGACGCTGATTAGACCGGTGGTCCTCTACGGCCACGAGACCTGAACTATGCTCGTGGAGGACCAACGCGCCCTTGGTGTTTTCGAACGGAAGGTGTTGCGTACCATCTACGGTGGAGTGCAGATGGATGACGGAACGTGGAGGAGGCGAATGAACCACGAATTGCACCAGCTGCTGGGAGAACCATCCATCGTCCACATTGCAAAAATTGGGCGACTACGGTGGGCTGGGCACGTCGTAAGAATGGCGCACGACGACCCAGTGAAAATGGTTCTAGAAAGCGACCCAACAGGAACAAGAAAAAGAGGCGCGCAGCGGGCAAGGTGGATCGACCAAGTAGAAGGTGACCTGCGGACCCTTCGCAGACTACGAGGCTGGCGAACTGTGGCCATGGATCGAGTAGAGTGGAGACGACTTCTTCGGACAGCAGAGGGCAACAAGGCCTTAGCCTGATTGGTAAGGTAAGGTTGTGACTAACATATTCTGCACATAGTATAGCGTCTAATGGTTTTGAGATTCCTGGTTGCGTGAAATATATTTGTGAGAATATCTTTTTGAGATTTTTGTAGTCACGTTTTGTTTGTAGTTTATAGTTTATTTCTTTCATGTAATTATTGTAAATAATAGTTATTCAATAATAGATAGTTCATCTATATATTCGTACCTTGACGCGAAGCGCTGTGGATTATGATATGCTCGATGACCCTGGAGGGATCGTTTTTGCTTACTGAGTAGAAAATCATGGGTTTGATTCCAAGCTCTCCGTCATGACTCTTAAAATTCATGATCACTAAACAAAATGAATACGTTCTTTCGATAGCCGGCTAACAACAAATAAATAAACAACAAATAAACAATACATACTTTTGGTTGCATCGCCAACTTGAGGTGAATCCTAACCGAATACCCTACCCAACCCTCCAACTCCGTAGCACTTATGAGGGTGTCGCTAAGTCGGTGGCCTCTCGTGAAGTAAGTACTACATCAACATTTCCTTACCTATTCCTAGTTATGGTAAAGATGGGCGCGGCCGGGAATAGCGACAGTCATGCTTCTGTTACTCTTGTTTAGATTGGAACCAATGTATACTCCCCAGCATTATTCCTTAAAGTAGTATAACTGAGAATTTCAGATGAGACGTGAGTGTCGCTAGTATACAATCTACGAAGTATATCATAACAACGCTAACGCTACCCCCACCATCGTTCTAGCAATGAATGGACTGAAAACTCATCTGTAAGATAAAGTTGTAAACCATGAGTGAGGGATGCTTTGTATGGAATTTGTTTGATTCCAAATGCTTGGAGTTTTGAGAAATTTTAATTTTTTCAACTAAGGTTGAACTTTTGCCCCACCTTACTTTACACAAACACAGATATTTTCCGATATCATTAAGCAGAGTTGATTGAAATATAAAAACTCAGCCTTCTGAGCCTCGGATCTACACTTGGTTTTCCAAGCGGTATGTATATCCTTCTTTGTAAGAAGGGTAAAAACCACAACTTAAATACTCTAGATACATACCTATATACTAAATTTAAATTTTTTTTTCGGAATTATTAGTTTATGTATAGCATCAGTAATTCTTATGAATGATTATTTTTCCTTGATTTGTTTTTCCGTCGATCTTGATTTCCGTGCTGAGCACCAATGCTACCAACGCCAGGGAGGCAGCTCCCACACCTGGACTCTACCTATCGACCCATCAACTCATGAACCGATAACCAACGGCTTTATTTCCCTTCCAAAGAAAGGCGTTATCAGTTCAATTCCGAAGGAAGGCGTTATCAGTTCAATTCCGAAGAAAGGCGTTATCAGTTCAATTCTGATGAAAGGCGTGATCAGAGATGTTATGCCTCAAAATATCCCGGCGGCGCCGACTGAAATTGACCGGCGCTGCTCAAATGAGTTGATAAAACATTTTTTTTAACCAACCCCCCTCCCCTCATTTGACCTATTTGAATGATGTTCGATATAAAATGAAAATAATGTTTGAATCAGCCTAGAGTTAAACAAAATTTAATTAAATCGATAATTGAGCCCACCTGTGCAACGCGTTGTATTGAGAATTCGGCAGAAATTTTACTACTACAGCCTGAGCAACATCGGAAGCAAGGCAGCAGTACAAGCAGCCTCATCTGAAAGCCTCAATGACCTTAACACACTTGGAAATGATTTCTTCCACTAATTAAAAAGCACATCTCGCTTAAGTGGATCCCACACAACAGAAGTTTTGTCATTATTTAGATGATAGATCAATATGTTCATGAATATGTTTGGTAGGTCACCAATCCGCCCTGGATGCTCTTCACTAAATTTATTATATCCGATGAACTGTTAACAGAAAATAACAACTTTTCTAATAAAAAAAAATGCCGCATCTGCTGCTGGGGAAATATTGGAACACAAAACCCAACTATTTTGATTATGCGTCAATATTATTGATTAAAGCCATTGTAATAATTCGTTTCGTTTGAGAGTACTAAGCAGCGACAAATATTAATCCAGAGTCATAAATGACAACCCTTTCTCTAGGTAAAACAGCGTTGATTTCATTTTGAAATATTCACAATCATAATTTAATCTTCAGTGAAATCTTCTAGACATTATCGTAACCAAGAAAAATCTTATGCAGCATGAAGGTTTCGTTCTATATTTTGGACTTAAAACAGCCTCACAGTACGGCACAAACAATATTTACAACAGCGAGGAAGTGATCGTGTGACCTTAGATCATAATACTCGATTTGCTTTTTTGCTGGTCATTATGCATTGCATGTGAGCTGAACATTAGGCTCTGAATCACCATTGCAGCACATTGATACACGGCTGAATCAATTGTTATAAACGCTAAAATGTGTTAGGATCATAGCAAGATTTTTGAGTGATTAGTTGCCTTACTATGTTTATCTTCTTGAAAAAAACACACTCACACATTTGGGTTTATCGAAAATTGTTTAGATTAAATTCATGTCACGGATGCTAGAAAAAGTTGCAACGCAAGCAAACAAAATTTGCATGAAAATTGTGTAGCTTTGTTAAACTTTTGAATAGGTCGCAATAAAACAATAATATATGTGAATTGCAGCTGATTTCCAACTCTGCGTTCAGTTACCTTTGATGTAAAACGTGACGACAACGCCGAAGAAGCCATTCCCAATGAAAGACAAATAGAAAAGTGATAGCGCAAGATTTGGTTTCCCCACAGTCAAAGATATATCCGATGTACTCGTATGCGATCCCACTTGTGATGCTGCAGACATACAAACTGGCGAGGGTAACCATAATGACTCTCCCAGTTGTGGTGAATGTGGATTTTTTGTTCTCAAGCTGTTCGACCTGTAGGCTGTAGGCGTGTATTGAAATTCCAGTTTAGAGGGAACTTGTAGTGTTGGTGATTTAAGTCACTCACAAAAATGAAAACATTTTGAAATCAATCAATCAACCATCATTTATGCTTTGAAAACATAAACATAAACATAAACATGTTTTGAAGACAATTCAATTAGTATATGAAGGCAAACAAGAATAGCCGAAAGTTGAGAGGACTGAAAATGTAGCGTTTAGTAACATAATTTAGGCCAGTAAATCAATGAGGAAATTTTTTTACGAAAAGTAAAGGGAAAGAAAACCAGAGCAATATCGAACTCTCACTTCATAACACATAAAATATACCTAACCAATTGTCGCCAACCAACTACATTTCCACGATCACGAAGCTCAAAGTAAACTCTCCAGTAATGGAAGCAATTTATGGGTGTCTTACAAGATCAGGGACAAAACAAAATATTTAAAAAAGATTCAGTGATAAAGTGTTGTGGAAAAGGGGCTTTAATATTAACCTAATATGTACTGATAAGGGTCTGTTCATAAACTACGTAGACAGTTTAGGGGGGAGGGGTTGGCAATCATCCACGGCCCATACAATTTTTTTTTGTATGGACAATTGTCTACGAAGGGGAGGAGGAGGGGTCAAGAATCCCAAAAAAAAACTGTCTACGTAGTTAATGAACAGCCCGTAATGGATATGCAATGAAAACCAATTTGTGATAACGATGTTTTGGAAAATACATTACTGTTAGCAGGCTTGGACTCAATTATCTCTATAATATTCTTAGTTTTAGCGTTGTGGGGGAAAAATAAACAACTAGACTTTTTAGCGGTGAAATCATCAAAAAAAAATTAAATGTAAATGACAGAAGAAGTAGAAGAAGTTTCGTTTTAAAAGTCTGTGTGCTAAATTGTTAATTTTGTTGATGAAAAGCACTTTAAAACGTCAAGGATCATTTTACCTTTACAGAAGACCGAAATTAATAGTCACTGGAATCGAAAATATGCAGTCGAAATCGATTTATTATTGATTTTTGACAGCCTTTCAGAAGCATAGCCTTACTTGTCGCTCGCGTAAACTTATTAAAAAGAGGGAAAAAAAACCGAAAAGTTTCTTTTTCTGGCCAAATCAAGACAAATGATATTCGTAAAAGGGTGAGATATCAAAGATATATTTTAGTTCATGTTACATTTACTGATAACATGTGTGTAACATGCATTTTGTATAAGACTTGATTGATTAGCAATGTTACCATGAGATTCCTTTCGATCGATAACTGAATCATTTATAGCAAAATGTCAATACTTTTTATGAGAAAGTTATACTTACATTGAATGTTTCTTTCTCTTCCGATATAATATCCAGGCAAAAATGGTTGTGGCTATTTCATCATTGAAGACTGCGAGTTTCAGCTATAAACGATAAAATACACTATTTTCAGATAATTATTCACTACAAACGATAATTTTAAGCTAAACAGGTTCGAACATGATAGTATTACTGAGTATTGAAGTCATGCTATTAGGCCACCGTTACTTTTCACTTTTCACACCCGATAGTTGCACACTTTCTAGCCTGTGTGTGTGTGTCTTGATTGATCAAGTGCATTGAGATTCGTTGAATTTGTATTAAATGGTACTTAGAGTTGAAATCATGCCGTAGTCCTAGTAGGGATCCAAAATAGTTCAACTTGTGTAAACTGTAAATTCCAGGTTAAAAGTAATTCCAGTTATTCGCTAAGCTTCCACGTATTCACACAAATAAGCCTGTTTTCACTGACACACTTGAACCGCATAAATACATCGAAAAAGAATGTATGCCAAGATCCAGAAACAGAAGAAAGAAAATGCCAACGTATTCAGTTTTTGCCACTATTCCTTGGCATGATTGAACATCCAGTTTTTCTAAAACTTCAAATTCTTTCTATAATAAAACTATGTAGCGCAGCTTAATTTATTGTTATTAATTTCAAATTACAATATTAACACTAAAGAAAAATGAACCGAGAAAGTGTAAGACGATGATTTCTACGCTCAAGACACACCTTTCACATTCAACCGCCTGGCACATACTGATCATTGTCTTCGTAAGACAGGTAACATTCTTCAGCAGCCTACCTTAGTAGTGTAGGTAGCATTTATCTGTAAGAGATGTAGAAGAAATACGAAGCGGTATGGTAGCGTCAGTTTTTCAGGTTCGTTTTCTATATTTCCTACCGGGCGTTAAAGTCTTGTTCTCATCGTCGCCTTCAAATCAGCTGCTTCATAAAAAAAATAATGATCTAAGAGTAATTTAAGGATGAAATAAATCTATTGATAGAAAATTAAGATTTAGGAAATTTAGGTGATTTTTGCTACCAGTTGAAATAAGCAGTTTTGAAAATATAAAAAGTCCTAAATTTACACTTTTTACCTTTACATGTTGTTATATTTGTTGCTTTGTGGGTATCATGGAATGTTCAAAATGTTGTCAAAAAGTGTCCGAGGCAGTAGCGGCAACCATCAGCGTTTAGTGGACCTCACACCTGAATGGAGACGAGCTCGTAGAAAAATTTCTCCTCCTGAGAAGTTGAGCTCTGACAGTTTTGTTTGTATGTATGCTGCAAGTCAAATTGCTTGGGAGAAACGCATGATCAGGTGTCCACTCTCAGGTGGATTTTCATCAAGTGATGAAATCGTCGCTTCCCATCGACAAATATGTTTGCAGCCCTCCGGTGATTGTTGACTCTAAGAAACTATGCATCTTATTGTGTGCTGCTATACGCAAGCCGACTAAAGTTTACTTGAGTTAGACATATTTTCAACTACTCTAGTTTTAATTTAATATCATATAGATTCCAGAATAATTTTCACATAAATGTTTAAAATACGTACAGCCTATTGGCGAACACGCAGCAAAAGTGGAACCGCATTCCTTTCAAGTATTATAAGCCATGATAAATTAACAATAATATGATTATCTGACGACCGATCTTGGATCACGAACCATGGTCTACAGGGACTGTTTCAAAAGATGTTGTTACTGTTGTGACGTGCATTTATGTATGAGTAAATCATTTATTGCGGATGACATTACTTTCACACTCAATTCAATGTCGATTGCTTAGTTACACCTGTAAACTGTATAAAGCAGTGACTAATTGATGTAAATAGAAAATATGAATACCACGATTTTCATGAAGTCGTACACTTTACCGTCATGAGAGTTATTAAGAATCACTGGATAGAGAATTATGTAGTGCAACTTTGATTTTTTTTTCTGGATTATACCTCTACCTACAAAAAGTGTGCAGAATAATTATTAAAATGTTTTAGGATAATTTTCGATGGTTTATCATCTGATAAAGAGAGCATCCAGATTAAGTATTAATAATTATCCTCAGCTATAAAAACCCTACCGTCCATGTAGCAATTACACCAAAAAATATGGCTTTCGAACTTGGAATCAATAGCTCAGGGATACTTTGTTTCAACGAGAAACTGATACATTCCGGTGGGTAAGCTTTAAATGTTGAAAATATTCTCGGGCAGTTTGAATTTTTAACACATTGAAAACGCGAAAATGTTCCTTAGATCAGTCAACGCACGTAGTACGGGTACCATTTTATATCGCGATAAACCTGTACTTAACCTTTTGCACGGCCCATACAAATTTTAATAATTGCGTATGGATAATTGTCTGGGGTATATTAACCAATAGTGGACCCCTTTCCTATATTGAACACCCTCAAGGGGTTTTTCAATGATAATTCAATTAAAATAATGATTTCTTTAAATAAAATTTCAATGAACATACCTGCTCTTAATTTGTAAACACTCTCAGTGAAAAATTATATGCTTTTTATTCTTTTTAATCACTAAAAGTATTGGCTTTGGTTAGAAAGACTGTTCAATTCTTTTTCGATTTTCATGCAATTTTCATTATATTTGGGACATTTGTTATTTCCCACATGAAAGAATATGAATTAGTTAGACAAAAAACATGCGAACATTAATGAAAACCATCAAAATTTGTTAAATAATTACGGGGTCCAGTAAAGGAAAATAAAATCACACTTTTCCCATTTTTTTTTCCTTGGTTTGTTTTCCGTCGATCTTGATTTCCGTGCTGAGCACCAATGCTACCGACGCCAGGAAGGTAGCTCCCACACCTGGAACCTACTTATCGACCCATCAACTCATGAACCGGGGACCAATGGCTTTACTTCCCTTACGTTATCAGAGATGTTATGCCTCAGAACATCCCGGCGGCGTCGACTGGGATTGAACCCAGGCCTGCTGGGGTGAGAGGTAATCACGCTTACCACTACACCACCGGCGCCGCTTTTTTCCCATTTTGGCCACCCCTAGTTTTCACTGACTGAAAAGGTAAACAAACGTAATCGAATCGTCGTGCTGGTAACAGATTCACGGTTTCTGTCGTATATTCCGGTTCGGGAAGTGTATAAATATGGGAAAAGTGTCAAAATCCAGGTAGTACACCGAGTCGGACGTTACTCAATGTCTCCAAGTGATTCAGAACCGTGTTCCAATCAAGACGGCCTGCAAACGGTACAACATTTCTCGATCCACAATCAAGTTTCAGCAAAGTGAAAAATGGTCCGGGAAAGCACGGAAGGGACCACCAACAGTGCTAACGGCCCAGGAAGAATCGGAAATAGTGCAAAGGATTATGCGAATGGCACGAAATTTCCTATCACGAAAGAACGCTTGGTTTTAACTGTTAGGAAATTCCTAACTGAAAATCCTCGTAAGGGAAATATTCAAATGAAAGCCGGTAAGTTATAAGCTAGCAATTATTTTCATCGTATGTAATATTACTCAAATCATTCATATGTTATAGGATACAAATGGTTCAATGGATTTATGATGCGTCATCCCGAAATTTCGGTGCGTAAACCTGAAAAGGTATCATCGGCTGCTGCCACTGTGACTGAAGTGAGCATCCGAAAATGGTTCCAGTCTGTTCGTGAGTTACTGATTGATCGTAAATCGTAATCTTAGAGGACGCACAACGCGTATTTAACGGTGATGAGATCGGATTTTGTCTCGATGCAGAAACGAAGGCTGTGCTCATTGCGAAAAAGGAAAAAACGCTTATCTTATTGATACCGGCTCAAAGAAAAACATCACTGTTTTGAATACGTACGGTGCAGCAGGAATAGCAGTTCCTCCTTGCGTCATTCTACCGTATCAGCGAATTCCTATGAATATTGCGCGAAGTTTTCCCGCCGATTGGGGAGTTGGAAAATCAGACAGTGGATGGATGACGGCAGAGACATTTATGGCCTATATTAGAAGTGTGTGTTCACCCTTATTTGATGCGAGAAAATATTCCACTTCCGGTGATCTATTTCATTGACGGGCATAAGAGCCATACCGCGTATGCAACTGCTGAAGAGTGTATTCAACTTGTATGTCTCTACGCAAACAGTACACATATTATTCAACCAGCTGACGTAGCAATTTTTCGTTCGCTGAAGGCTTGGTGGACCAAGCAGGTACGGGTTTGGCAGGCTGCACACTAAGGTAGTAGATTTCATGAAGTTATGTTGTGGTTTTTCTTATTTTGTTTCACGTTTCCAAATTTAGGTAAGGTAATTCGAACGGACGAGTTCGGTAGAGTTTAACAACAGGCCATCGACGTTTCTTTTAAAGCAGAAACTGTCATACATATTTCCGTTCGATGCAAACGCTGTCGATTACTCGAAATGTATAGCAGGCAAGACAAATCCGGAACCGAGTGTTCCTTCCACAAAGGAATCTACTATTGCTGTTTTGCGTGAATTGCTCGAGGGAATAATTCAGCAGATTAGTCCAGCGCAAGCTACCTTTTACCGCGAACTTAATGTGGATTTTTTCACGGGGGAATCAGAGAGAATAGTATGTCAATTGTATAAAGCAGTTCTTCAGCCCCTCGATTAACGTGTGATTAATGAAAAATCTGGCGAACTTGGTCAGAATAATGATGAAGCCGAACTCAGCTGTGAACAGATGTGCACTGATTCCATTTCAGATGAGTAAGTTTTACCTATTTCTTTGTCTCTTTGAATAACATTGTGATATCTTTCATTACAGCGAGATTAAAGCTTTTTCTGAAGAAGATGAGGCCCACCCTAAGGTGCTTAATAATGAAACCGGTGAACTCGGTCAAGTTAATGACACAACTGATCTCCATCATTTCTCTGACGATGGAGGCGAACCAGCCACAGGCTGAAAGCCTCCCTAATAAAGATAAATCAATCAATCAATTTCTCTGACGATATCGACACCCGCTCATCGCAAGATAAAATCAACACGAGCGATCCGATCCCTTCGTTTCATGACCTGATGGAAGATGCTTCTTTTGATGATCCGGACATCTTATGTATGAAAAATTCAAATTCTGAGAAAGATCCATTGTCCTTGTCAAACTGTACTGACCAAGACAAGACCATTCAGAGCTACTTAAGTGAACCCAGTACGCCTAAGAAGAAGAACAGGAAGTTCAACAAACCGAAGAGCCCACCAGTTTTGACTTCTCGAAAACGTATAAAGCTTCATCAGAAGAGAGAACAAGACAAAGAAAACAAGAGAAATTTCGAAAGGCTTAAGAAAAGCGCAAACAACGAGCAAAGCGAGCAGAAGACAAACAAATTGAAATGATCAAAAAAGCGGTGGAGCGACTGGAACGTTTGAAGTATGGATTGCAAGAAATTAACAACAATAAAGATTAACCTACACTTATTTCAAATATTGTTTGAATATTCAACGATATTCAATGTTTATTGTTATCTCCCTTTCTTAAGCACAACAAAGATAATTAAATAAAATCAAAATTAAAATAAGTTATTGTTTATTTTGGGGTTCAAGATGGCACAAAATTATTAACCCTAACTAAACTATTTTAACAATTATATCGTTCTTGGAGATAGGAGGGAACAAATTGAATATGTAACAAGGGGCTATACATAAACTACGTTGATGTTTTTTGGCGTTTTAAACCCCCAACCCTCCCCCAGCGTAGACGATCGCCCATACAATTTTTTTAGAAATTTGAATGAACCGTAGACAACTGCCACGCCTCCCACCCCCTAATCC